TTTTTAGAATTGTAAAGGAAAAAAATTCAAAGTCAAATAAAAATTATTATGGGAAAAAAAAATTACAATTTGTTTAAAAATTAATTGCTTGGGAGTGTGAGGGGGAATGGTGGGTAAAGGTGTGCAGAAGAGTAACACGGCACGGTTGGCAGATATACATATATAGTAGGGACAGGGGAAGTGTATAGAGAACAGTAGGTGCGGGGGACGGGGTAAAGGGAGAAACTAAAACCACTTTCGTTTCAAAAAAAAAAAATCTGTCGGTTTTAAAATTCCAGCCCCCCGAGTAACGCGACATAAAGAACTTCGTTCTAAAAATGGCATGTACTTTTGGTGTGATTGGTATACCTAAAGTTAAATAACTATCTCGGAAGCTTTGAATATCTTTTTGGAAATTTAAATTCAATTCCATTGAAAAACATTCTGTGAATACTTTTCTTAATTTTCGAAAGGTATCTACGTCTTTGGTACATTATAGATTCTTTATTGCATCTAACTTATTAATATTAATCAACAGGATTTTGTAAGCATTTGCAGCAAATATTGGAGATTCACAAATACACTGTTGTTTGGCACTGCAAGCATTTTCCCAAGCCAATGCTTAATTTTTACTCTCCAATATTAAATTTGAAAGCAGCGCATTCACTGCACCTAATAATAAATGCAATTCAGGCGGAGGTATGATATCTAAGACTTTTTTATTACACGCTGTTGTAAATAAAGGTTGGGTTGTGCAGTTTTTCAAATGCTTGGCATTATTAAGTATTTTTGTTTGTTTTTTTTAAATGAAAAATTTCGAGTTTCAAAAAATTTATCAAGAGCATGACTTGCTTTTAACAATTTTTCTCTCAAATTAAGTTCAAATAACTTACGATCTTGGTTCTATCCAAAGAGCTGTTGTTATTCCTTACGATTATCTATTACTCAATCCGAGATTTTTGTTTATTTTACGTATTGCCTTTACAGGTATTTGAATCTCATTTTCATTCTGTTTGTTTCGTAAATTGACATTCAACGGCTTTCCATGAACTTGTGATAATGGAATGTCATTTTTTTTATTCAATTAGGAATATTCTCTTTTTTGCCTTCGTTCTTCAACTTATTTTTTAAGAATCTTGCAATAACATGATCTGTTTCCTTATCAGAGAAATTATTCAAATTTTGTTTAATCGTACTCATTGTATTTTTAAAATTACACTTGTGACTGACGCTTCGTGCTATAAACCAAGACAATTTTCTCACTTTTTCTCATATGTTACATTTTTTTTGTCTTTGACTTCATCGTATTTATTTTCGATTTTTCTTGCACATGTTTTTTTTATTTATTGCATTTATGAGTGGATTAGATTTTCCCATGTCCCCAATCAACATACATAAATAACACTTACACCTGTCAACACTTGCAGCTGATCGCGTTCTTACTTTGATTGATTTAAACTTGCTAAAATCGGGAGATAGAATTAGGAGGTAGATATTCGTCGTGGTTTTCAAATACTTTATAATTAGGAAATAACATAAATGCAAATTTATTCAAACGGATATAGAAATGAACAAAGCTCTGTTTACTTGCACGTCTCAAAATAAGTAGAGTATCTCAAAAATCTTCAAAGTTCGTGCAAATAGCGAGTAACATAATATAACAATCATAGGAAAGAAAAATTAGCTACTTAATAATGATAATTTTTATTTTTGCTCTCAACATATTGCTAACTTGCAAACTCTTGAGGTCCAAACAAAAATTATTATTACTTCCGAAATATTTGAAGGAAGAGATAGTATTCACTGTATGCTTTTCGTGAATTAACAGTGATGAGATTGTCTAATAGCGTGGTGTTACGTAGGGAGGATATTGGTAACGAGGTGCATCGCGAGAATGACCAACACTCGTTATTTCGAAGACCTTTATTCAAATTACCGTAATCATAGGCAAAGAAGCGCGTGTGTTTCCCTCGAAGGCTAGTCGTGTACTCCCCCGAAAGACTCTCTCCTTGCTTGCTTTTTCCCTCTCTTGGCCCTAAGGCCCCTTGTTACGAGATTTAAGGAGAAGGAGCGTAGAGTCTCGCCTATACTATCGTACGTTACACTTCCGTGGCCGCGACATTGTTGTCCTCGACGACGCTGACTTTTTACTTTACATAGAGTCTGTGTACTTGTTTGCAATCTAATGTGTGTGTTTGTGTGCGTGCGCACGCGCGCTGTTCTGTGTTCTGTTGTTTATGTTGATGGTGTCAGTTAATGTATATGGTTGTTAAAAATAAAAAATTTTCGATTTTTTAATTTTTTTTTTTAATTTTGCTGTTAAAAAAACGTGAATACGTCTCTAACTAAAAGGTTGTATATGAAATGCAAAAGAAAGAAGAAAAAAAATTTGATATAAAAATGTACTATCCTCTGTCTTAGAAAAACAAATCATCATACCAAGTATTGAGAAATTCTTGAATCACTGTAGTGGACCACAAAAATGATGGCCGTTGAAACTCACCCTAAAATAAAATTTTGGAAATAAATAAAATCTGGATTGGCTACTTCTACTCGTTACACTGATTTATTTATTCTTTGATAAAAACAAATGTCATTTAAGGTAGATAAATCCGTTTGTATTTCTTGTATGTGTAAAGACAACAAACGCTTCTAAATTATCTATTTGCAACGCTGTTATACTATTTTTTCGAATAAATAACATAAATCTGAAGTAAAATTTTGTTATGATTTGTCAGAGAAATAAACTGCTTTGCTTTCATTGTTGAGAGATGTTAAAATCATTCTACTTAGTAATAAAAATATGCAAAGTAATGCTTGTTAACATATTATGCACACGGTCAAAAAATTTGAGCAGAGTAAGCTTTTGAAAGTGTTTTGATAATAGACAGTATACCTACAAAACAGGACGTCATGCTTTCTTAATTGTGCTACTGTATCATGTTATGAGAGGTTACTCTTGTTAGTTTTGTTCTCATCTTATATGTGATGCATAACGAAAACCACTTTACATATTTTTAAATGAAGTGGAATGTTTCCATTATTGTTACACAATAATGGGTTATAACATTTTGTAAATTTCACACAGTGTCCTACATGAATAAATCCTTAAGGATTACGTACAGGGTTCTCTATAGGATCTCCTGCAGAAAGGACTGTATAAAAGTTGTGTTTTCTTCAAGAAGTCCTGAAAGAATTTCTTCAGGATTTTCTGTAGCATATACTGTAAACAAGAGCTCTTATTGCTCTTCAAGTTATTTTAAGATCGTCGATCTTTTTGTCATCAAACTTTTTATAACATGGAATTTTTTTGATAATTAATAACACATCAATGGCGAGAAAATGCAAAAAAAAATTTTTTTATACCGAAAAACTTTTAATCAACGTAGAAAAAAGACTATCGTATTTTGAACCGTGCGTGCTGCAACCGGTTGTTCACCTAGTCGTAATAAAGGCGTATAGATAGGAGCAATAAGCTGTCACCGTCTATTATAATATGACTTTCGTGATTTTATTTTAGTTTTCCTTTGCAATGAAATTAATAAGGGGCTCTGGCGCCGGCGTTGGAATGCAGATATACATGACGATGATACACAAATTTTTTCGAAGTCAAAAACTTAATTGCAAGTCGGTTATTACAAAAATGGTCAATTTCTTATACGTTGATCTCAGAGTAAGCTAGAGCATTCTTTTTTTTTAAATTTATGTTTTTTTATGATAAATACAATGCTGTTTGTTGAAAAAAATATACAAAATTGACTGAAGTATTTGTAATTTTTTAAGTTGCAGAGAAAAATAGTTCATGAAAAAACGTCAAAATTATACGAATCCATTTTCTNTAATTTGGTCAGAAAATTATCCTGAAATGAAATGGAAATGATCCTAAAAAAAAATTTTAGTTACCTATTTATTTTATTTTATTTTGTTAAGGAGCACCGTGTTTAATGTTATAATCTTAGTGGTATAAGAATATAAAAGAGCTAATGACATTGCTATGTGTGAGTGGGAATGATAATGTCCCCAAGTAAAAAATGATTGACGAGTATCTTCCCTGTCTCTTTCTGATAATGTGCTGTGATTAGGTGCTGATCAAACAGATATCTACCTGCGTATGTAGCGGCAAGAATCTAGTTGAGAGACAAGTAAACATAAAGCCATGAAAAGAATTTTGTTATTATGGATCGATTAAATGATCTAACGGTGACAAAACCTTTATCTCGGCTAACAAGAAAATATAAAATTCGTCGTCAGTTACGATCGGGTCCAAGGAGTCTAGATTAAAGTTCAGGTGGAGGACTGGAGGTACACTCTTTCGGCTAAAAACTCTGTCTCCGCTACTTTCTTGCCAATACATGCAAGTAGCTGCTCCTTTGAGTATCAAACTATCACAGCACACTGCTAGAAAGAAACAGAGAGCATATTCGGCAACCATCTGTTTCTTGGTCTCTATAAGAATATTTAGCTTCTCACGCCAGCTCTTATTACAATACCTTGGTTCATAATAACAATATACAGTTGTAATCATGCGGTGAAAAGTAGATTTTTGGAGCATGCGTGCCACAATAGAAAAGTTGACGCGAATTACCTTATGTTACCGTGAATTACCTCATCACAAAAATATTTTTTGTGCACTTTTACATTTTATTTTTTATTTGATTTGACGAATCCATGAAAAAATATTACCAAAACTGATAGAATTTTACTCAATAGTTATAAAGCTTATGAAGTGGGAATCACCGGCTGTTTGCAGCACCGAACCTTGGTTGATAAAAAAAACCATTTTTAGAAATAAAGTGAAATTGAAAACAACTTAGGTTGGAAATGGGACGTATCATACATTGATTATTCCGAACATTATCTAATCTCAGTATTACTCAGCTTCTAAAATGTGCTATTGTCCAGACTAAAAATCGATTACTGTGTACTGTATATAAGTATACATATTTTCAAAGTGTATTGATATGAAGACACTATTTTCATCCTTGAGTACGTTCCCGTACTCAAGCACACGTAAGACTTCACTATTGTTTGTAATTCTGATACCAAAACGTTTCGTTTTTAAAATCTCGAAAATTGAATTACATCCCAGTTTTTAACATAGTTATTCTTTGGACTGGTTGCAGTAAAGGAGTTGGTATACAAGTTAATGAAGTTAATTAAATATTAGAACATTTCAAATCTAATTTTGTATATCTATTAGTAGTGCTTTTGTAGTGGAAAAGCTAACGTTGCGGGATCAAACTGGACTCGTTACGACTAAGAGTTCAAGTATTTGAGGTGAGACGCTAAGGTCTTAGTTTTAGTTATTGCCAAAAGATGCTTTTTTACGTAGTAGGATGGCACTAAATTTTTGTGCCTTTCTTTTGAATACGTGGAACTCATCCATTTACTTTGGCACGAGCTCCTTTGCACTAATAGTCATGGCTCACCTCGAATAGGAAATAATAGTTTAAAATACATAATAATTAATTAGGTGAAATCTTGCAAAAACTTGTATTAAAGAACTTTTTATGACTTTGTATATTCGAAGCTATCTTTTTAAAAAGTAGTTGTAGTGGTGAGTTTATAATAATTCGATGTTACTGTTGTGGGAAAACGCACACATTTTCGTATAGGGATCGTTTTTTCAGTATATCATTAAAACACAATAGAGATTAAAATAATTGTTTTCAATGTATCATATAATGGCTTAACTGACATACCTGTTCATAAATTTTAATGGCTTTCTCATAATTCTCAAGTTGAGCGGCATACTGTGCTACTTTTAGAAGACATTTATTTGCAGATGAATTACTTTCTTCTCCACGAAAGTAGTCGGCAGCTTGTTCGTAATGCTGGACAGCTCTTTCCAAGTCTAACGCTTCATTTTCATATATTTCAGCTATGCTCTGATGGTGCTTTGCTGCCATTGTGAAACGGCCCATGTCAGTGTATATTTCAATAGCTTTTAATAAGCAGTTGACAGCTTCTAAGGTATGGAAACAATGACAGTAATAAAGATTTTGTCACATTCTTAACTACTTTAAAATACTTAATCATACCATGTTATCTTTAGAGTTACACTTTATGTATTAAAAAAAATTATATTAAAAAATCTTTGCCGTAGAAATTGTAAACACCTACAAGATTCATCAGTTACAGCCAGTTATCTCACTTAAGAAAATTTTTATTACTTAAAAATTAAAAATTATATTTTACTTACTGAGAATTAGAAATCAGGTAGTCAAGTTACATGAAAAAGAGGCAAAAAAAAATTGCCTACTTTATCTAACTAATTTAATCTAATTTCAAAAGATAAAGTACACTCGTGATAAAATTACTTTGATGGAAGTACATTCTGTTTTGTAGTACTTTACAAGTTCACACACATAAAAATATTAGTCTACTGAGAAATAATTTGGGTGCATTGCATCAAACTAAAATAATTTTTTTTTTCAAGCGAGTTAAACAATTTTTTTTAGTGAGATCTACTACAACGAGAATGCAGCCCTTCAAATACATTTCTATGTATTTGTGTATTATCAAGGAGTCCTTAAGTTTGACAGTGCGTTAGTATTCATCATAAAAATTTGAATAATGAACATTAAATATTTCACCAGAAAAAATAACAATTTTAACTCTTTTTCTGTTTTTCATACTAATTGTAATACTTTTTGACTTTCATTGATATTTTAATTTTCTAGTATTTCTTTACTACATTTCATTTGATTTAAAGTAATTAGAGATTTTACAGAAGTTTAAGGTCTTCATATGAATAACTTCTAAATAAAACCAGTCATGCAAATGGGTTGACGTCAGCTTCTAGCTACCAACAAACCCACCACTACTTGTTATGATAAGAGTAAAATTCAATAGTCTTAAATAATTTGGCTATCATCTGAATCGGTTACTCGAGTTGTAATCCTCAAAAAAAAAAAATGCAAAACTGTTAAGTCGTAAAGATGCGTATCATTAATATTAACTATCCATGTATTCGTAAGCACGAATATGCAAGGGACTACCTGCGTCTTACTCCAAGTATGTGCGGAAGTCAAGTTCTGAAGTGACGTCATTGCTAGATATTTTCTTAGCACTCAGATCTCAGTACTGAACAAAGTTTTTCGAGCCAGATCGAGAGCAGGAAAGGAGATCAAGCATTGGGTTAGAGAAGTCACGTGTTTTTCAAATATTAGCTCTCTCGTTAACGTTAAAATCGAGCAAAGGGTCGAGTACCGTTAGCGTGCCACTATAATGTCCATCTTTCCCGTATGTACAGCGAACACACACATGTACAGCCAGTCTTTATAGTCACATTATTGCTCGCACGAATACATACACATAGCACTCTGCTCGTTTCACAACCATGTTTTAGTTGCCGCTTTGTGTGCTCTTACACATCTTAACCTATAGCACGCAGCTTGCTTCTACGCACCAGCTATCCTTAAAGATCAAGTTCACTTTTCAATATGATCTTACTTTGATCGTAGCTTCAATTTTGAGGTGACTGATTTGGTAATATGACGGTATCTTTATAGCACGCTCCAGTCAATAAGAAGCTCTTTAGTTTGAATAACATCAAAGATTTTATTTCAAAGAAGACGTTCACTGACAGTTGGTAATTGATTGGAAACAACGTCTAATGGTGGTACTGTCATATTTTGTAATTATTTACAAACCAAAACAACGTTTCCGCTGTTTGGACAACGTCCTGGACCTCATTAGGTACAAAAATCTATGAGTAATAGAAATTCTTTACTATACAAATTTTAATAAATTATAATGAACGCAAATTTAGTTGAGTGTATAGCATACCTCTCACTTTTACAAAAGGGATGTACAATCGTAATGTAGTCAGAGTTTTAAGTTAAGCTGCTTTTACACTTATTCACATCACTTTATCAAAGATTTTGTTTTAGCTAAATCAGAGTTTTGTGCACTTGATAAGATAAATTTTCTGTTAGATGCCTCTATTTATGCTTGAATTATGCAGGATAAGGTTGAAAAGAGCTTTATCACAGAGCCAACTGACTTTTATTTGGAGATTGGATGGTTGCTTGCTGGACCAGTCGCCATAAACTCTTCTTCAAATCATACTAGAACTCAAGCTAAGCATTTGGCCATGAAAGCTGAGCTTACTGACGTCCCTAAAAAATTCTTGGTGATTGACGACCTTTTAAGCAAGTTTCCTCTAGAAAAAGAAGATACAAACAGCACTTCGTGAATACTCACAACTGCAAGCCTGACGGTCAGTATGTTGTCACCTAGCCATTTATGGCCTATAACTTATTCATACCTAGCTTCGTAGTAGCTCGTGCCAAACTGCATAGGCTATGTTCAGACAACTCAAAAGAGGATTGTTGGCTTATTCTCGCCTCCATAAAGCCTTCAAGAACTTCATGAGTAAGTATGTAGTACTTTGGAATATAATAAAGATAACTAACTCATCCAATGCTTATTACTTTCTTTCACACCATGGCATTACTAAATAGAACAGCTCTATGATTAAGCTAAGGATTATTTTTCGTAAGTTAGCGTGGGGTCATAGTATGACTTTGTTAAACTTGATGGTGATTCAGGTCAAAATATCCCGTTAAATTTTTATAGATTTATTCTTAAATGAGACTTTTTTAGGTTTATGATTACCACAGACATCAATAAGATTTTCTGATAACTCTTGGTGAGCAACAGGCCTATCTCTTGTGAAAACCAGAGCCCTCTAGTAAACTACTGACATACCGGCTTACTTCGGTCACACATGGTTTGGCAAATCGTTTTCTACGTCAACTACCGATCTATCAAGCAAGTTCTAATCTCTAAGGTGTCAAAATACTCAGAAAAGTTTTATGTTAATAATTGAGATGAACCTTCAATCTCAAGAACTTCTTCAGTAGGTAGGTTTGAAATACCCCCAAATCTTAGTAAGAGACACCTAAATCAAATTATGAAGGTGTGCAGGCAGATTTTAAGTGCCCCTGACTAGTAGTACATAATATCCTAGGTCAAAAGCTAAAATTTTTAATGTTTATGATCTAGGTACATTTGTATTGTATTTAACAGCACGGTTCGGCGTGATAGTTCGTTAATGCTTTAACTATGATGGCCTCAGTTTGAACTACCTTAAAGACCTGCCGTTACACAAATTCCTTACTTGAAGAATCACTAACTATTAGTCTGTGGCTGAGTACGATAATTTGTACGGCGTTATAAATAAAAAAAAATTAAAATGTTGTACTTCTATCCTTACAACTTTTTTACACCTTAAAGTTTTCTAAAAAAATTGCTAATTTAACGCGTATCATAAGTGATGAACTTTAAATAAATAGATTTATTTACGTCGAATCGAAAATAAATAATGGCCTAAACAAAATTTTTGAGATTTTTCATCGAATTTATGCAAAAAAATTCAAAGCACAAGATATCACGATGATAATTTTGTTGAGCAGTTTAAGCAGAATGTTGATCCATGAGGTTTTTATTATAAATATTCTAAAATAGGATTTCACCTTAAGAATTATCGAACTGAACAATTTGTTCAACGGTTGAATAGTTCAAATCAAAAGAAATTTTTTTTAATAATCTCCTTTTTATTTGGATTGATCTGAATTCCTTCTTCAGTCCAGATAGGTCTTAAAAATTTTATTTCGTTTTAAAAAACTTACCTGTCAGTAGATTAACTAAATGCCCCTCACAAGTGACTGCAGTTTAGAGTTTCTCACAATATTTCAAGTGCTTAAAGTGTAAGAGAAATACCTACTTGAGACCAAGTTTTGAAAACTCACAAATATTGCAGGAAAAAATATATTAAAAAATATATATTTTCATATAGAATTAACCATGAATTTTAAGTATCCGTCTTCAGGCACAGAACTATTGTTTAAAAAATGTTGCTTAAAATTTCAAATCAATATAATTAGTAAGTAGATAAGCTATGGCGATTCCAGCATAGCCCTCCCTTCCCTCGGTATCCCCTCTCGCGGTGTGCCCCTCCTTATGGAATTGGCCCCCTTTCGCAGCGTGCCCCTCCCCGCGGCAGCCCCTCTTCGTCGATGAGTTAGACTCCTCTTGCAGCTAATGGGCGCGCGGATCTGGCAGGCTTGAGTTTGCATGCGCTGCGATGCGCATTTTTTGCCTACAGCGCTGCTTGAAATTGCGCGCGCTATTTGAATATCTTGTGCAGATTGTGCACGCGATTAGTATATGTATTTTTTTGTAAGCGAGTGCGTTGCACGATGACGTAGGACGTGAAGGGGTAGTAAAATAATTGTTTAACATTTTAATTGTTTATTTTGGTTAATCTGTTTATATTAAACTTAAAAAATTTATGTTTACAAAACTAGACTTGCAAAATGCTCAGATTTGCAAAATGAATTGTTTAACATCTTATTCCCTAAGTACAATATATTTTTACAGATCTTTATGACTATCGTTGTTGTCATCAACATCAACTTATTCCATGTTCGAATAAAACTTTTTTATTCGTTTGAAATTATGAAGAGCACAAATGGATTTGTAGGCTCCATTGTGATGAGCACAAGTAGTACCTAATCTTGGAAGTTCAAACGGCGGATAGCCTGTCATATCAGTGACTTTGAAGCCAAATCTTTCAAGCCACTTTTGTTTCAGATCTCCAATAACAAATATCTTAGTAGCATTTTTGAGATTCTCCCGTAAAATATTTCCTATCTCCGTGTACTCAATTTTTCCCGAGTCCCAGCTTAGTCCATGATAGTAAAATTCAAGGTATAAATTTTTATGTTTATACTTTGGTGGCAATTTTCTCCAGCTGAAAGGTGCTTTAAAAAGAAATACTTGTGCTTCTGCATCAGTGGGACTAAGCAAAAGGATAGCCACATCCTTGACCACATAATCATTACCTGGTTTCTTGAAACCTTGCATGTCCACAAAATACTCCATTTTCTTTGCTATTATCATATTAGTTTCGTCTTTTATCTTTTCATAACCTTCAATTCTAGGACAAGATCCTTTGTA